GCCTAGGCGGTAGCTCCGGCAGCGGCTTTGGACCAAACTCGCTTCGGTAATTGCTTTCCCCTTCGAAAGGAAGCGACTTGGGTAGCTTCGGTTCTACCCTTGGAGGAAGCTGTGGTAAAGGCTTAGGTCCAAATTCGCTGCGATAATTGCTTTCTCCCTCGAACGGAAGCGACTTCACCAATTTTGTTACTACTCGTGGGGGGAGCTCTGGCAGCGGCTTTGGACCAAATTCGCTTCGGTAATTGCTCTCCCCTTCGAAGGGAAGCGATTTTGGCGGCTTCTGTTCTACTCGTGGGGGGAGCTCTGGCAGCGGCTTTGGACCAAATTCACTTCGGTAATTGCTTTCACCCTCGAATGGCAACGATTTCGGAGGCTTCTGTTCAACCCGTGGGGGGAGCTCCGGCAGCGGCTTTGGACCAAATTCACTTCTATAATTGCTTTCCCCTTCAAATGGTAATGACCTCGTCAACTTAGGTTCTTGCCTAGGCGGTAGCTCCGGCAGCGGCTTTGGACCAAACTCGCTTCGGTAATTGCTTTCCCCATCGAATGGTAATGGTTTTACTATTTTGGGACATCTGTGAAAGCCGCACGTGCACATTTCATCTACACATAACCCTGGTCGCTTACTGGGGGATTCCTTCCTTCTCTGTTCACTGTTTCTGTCCAAAGACAAAATTCTATTAGCATAAAAATAGTCCTTCCCATTTGGTCTGTCATAGTCTTCCTCACACTCCGATTTATGAGAACTGTCACAGTTCTTGTAGTCTTCAGACACCAAATTAAATTTCACTTTGGGCTTCTCTGCAATTATTTCCATATTGAGTGTACTTTATTGTGAAACACGGTTTAAAAGGGGTACGCCAAAATGGGGGCCAAGCTCACTGCAGGTTTTTTTTTTTTTTGCTTTTTTTACAAAATGTAAAGCAGGGGATTACGTGTAACACTACAATGGCGACACAAAAAAAATAAAATATTCCTATGATTATCACTTTTAAAACAAAAAAATTATGCACATTCTAGTAAAAAAAAAAATAAATAAATAATAAAATAAAAGACTAAAGAACCACGTAATTCAGACTGTTAAATTAAACATAAGTATATGATATATCTATGAACGGGGAGGGAGAGGTGTCAAATCATTGAGGGGTTGTGCTATTTCTATAAATTGGGCCAGGTTCATGCCCTTGGGGGGGGGAGGTAAACAAACACATATATCTACAAAAGGGCTGGAATTGTTGTATTTGGACAATTGCATTGGTCAGAAGGGACAACGCTTGTTGCACATTCACATATCGTGTAGTTGCAACTTCGAGGTTTACAACCGTGTGAACACAACCGTGTGCTCATAGAATACGTGCAGTACACACTATATGCACAAACTGTTGTGAGCTTTTTTTTTTTTTTTCACACACATAACATGTGAAAAAAATGAAATAACATCATAAGAAAAAATGGCCAAAATTGAAAATTGCTAACAAGTGAAAAATACAGACAAAGCCCATTTAAGGAAATATGAATGTCCCCCTTTTTTTTTTTTTCTTCTATATCTCCTGTGAAAAACAGAATTCTTTCTGCAAAAATAGGTGAACCATTAGCTAAAATGTGTAGATACAGTAACTTTGGAATTTTTTTTTTTTTTTTTAATACATTTGTTAATATGGTCAGGCAAAATAGTAGAATTATTGTTGTTTTTCAGGGCGTTCAGTGCAGGTGCAAAATGAAGTCAGAATTTTTTTATTACCCTAAACATTGTATAGCTAAATAAGTACATTTATTTTTTTTTTTTTTTTCCTGTCTGTTCAGGTATAACAGCTAAATGTAGCTTTTTTTTTTTTCTTTTTTTTTCCTGCTACAAGCAGCACAAAAGCAAAATTTAACCTGACCCGTTCATAACGATACACTACTAATGTAACAAAGGCACATTTGCACACTTTGGTTTTATGTGCATAATTTCGAACGGAACAATCAGACTTAAGTGTTCCTTATGGAAAAAATTTAATCATCCCCTTAAGGCGTACATTTTCGTGAAGTGAGGCTTTCCATTTTTGCGAAAAATAAGGCAAATGGCGGTGCGCTCCATGTTGTACACTTGCAGAGTTGCCTGAACGAAAGGTAACTCTGCAGGTTTAATCAATGAACAAATGGACAAACACTCAAGTGCGAAAAGGTGAGGCCACTTAAGCTTCAAATTAATGCTATTTGGACCACGTAGTCGACTTGCTATTTGTGAAAATTGTAAACATATATGGGAGGAACGTCTTAAGGGGTATGTATTTGACCGTCCATTTTTAGGGAAAAAATGCATCTTCCCTTGTTGCCCTTGAAAGGAACAAAGCGAAGCACGGGCTTTAAATCCTTCTCGCGACGGCCACCGAATGAGGAGGCTCGTCCGTGTTGACTTTGTAAACTCGCAAAAAAGATTTGCATTCGTGCGAGCGGAGCCAGCCTCACAAAATGGGGAATAACAACAAAATTTATACATATTTCTATTTAAAAATTGTTAAAGTGCTTTTATAATGTTCTTTTTTTTTTTTTTTTTTTTTGTGAGAATGTAGCATATGTACGTAGTTCACGTGTGTGCATATGGACGCATGAATGCAAGCATACCCACACCGATGGTACACGTGTCCACAGACACATGTAGACATATATACGCACGTACAACGCTTATTACTTCACAACAAAAATGGACACACACACAAAAAAAAAAAAAAAAATTGGAAGATGAAGATTATTTGAGCGCCATTTGGCATTACGTAAAAATGTGATTATAAGGGGAATGTCTAAATGGTGGAACATTATTCACACAAATAATTTTTATTAATAAATGAGTAATTGGACATAACTGCTAAGAAATCGTGTGTGTAACTCAATGGATGCGCTTTTGCATTACACCCACGTGTGTAAAATGAAAAAAAAAAATAAATAAATAAATAACAATAATAAGGATGTTAATTTGCATTTCATTTTTGCATTAATTGGATACAAAAGGGAAAAGGCTTGCATGCAGTGCTTTGTATTTCCCCATGGAAAGTTACGCGCATAGAGGTTATATGCGTCCAGACTCACATTTGACCCGATTTGCATCAATATTCCCTGTCCTTGTACGGCACGGATCTGCCGTTGTAGTTGGCCTTCTTGTTAATCCCTGGAGCACCGTTTTGCGCGTTGCTTTTGAAGGTGTCTCGCTTGTGCTGGTTGACTTCGTTGTTATGGTTGCCATAGTTTCCGTACCCGCCGTGGTGTTTGTGACTACCATGGGCGTGCCCCCCGTGACTGCCGTACCCGCCGCGGTTCTCGTTCTTGTATCTCGCATTGTGGGAAGTATTGTAGGGAGCGTCATAATAGGGATTTTCCCTGCTGGACGGGTTTCTATGGGATGCATAGCTATTGTCGTAGGCGTTGTTATAGCTGCTTTCCTTTTTGCTGTCGTAGGTGTGCACCGCGGCTACATTTTTTGGAACCTTGTGCATGACGACGTTTTTGTAGCTCGCTGGCGGGTAATTGTTGCCGTAATTGGGATTTTGATATGCTTGATGATTTTGGTGGCTCTGATAATTTTGGCCGTGGTGGTAGGAAGCGTGGTTCTTGGGGGCACCCATGTGCGAGCTGTAATTTGCGTTCGCGTAGTTGTTTCGGTGATCCCGGCCAACGTGGCCTCCATAATTGGCGCTGCCGTAGCCACCACTTCCATAGCCACCGTTACCGTAACCACCTCCCCCATAACCTCCTCCACCATAACCTCCGCCGCCGTAATTTATGACATGACTTCTGGGCTGACTACCCCTCGCGTAGGAGTAAATATGTGGGTGGTTCGTACTTAGACTGTTCAAGATCATCCTCTTCGCCGCGGGTGCGTTGAACCTGAGTTTTCTCTCCTCGTTGTTGATGTCAACCACGGTGAGCACCTTCCTTGGTCTCTTATGATTTGGCAAAAGCGATGAGCGATGCTTTATAAGTTCGGGTTGGACAAAGAAAGCGCTGTTACATGTGGTGCAAAAATTGGACGAGAATTTAAAAATTTTCTTTAAAATGTTAACATCACTGTCTTCGTGCTTGCAATTGAGATAGCCAAAGAGGTTCATGTCTCGGTTGTTACTTATCGGGATGGTTAGATTCATGTTTTTAAAAAACTGATCGTATGTGTTTCCGCCTCCTTTCTGTTGCTGCTCATCGGCTTCTTCCACGTTTGTTGGTTCCCCGCTAACGGCAGGCGGCTCTTCCTCGATGCTATTTCCAGCGGCCGCATTCTCACCGACATTGGCTGTGTTACTGGCATCAGCATCGTCCTTCTTTTCACCTTCCCCCTTTATTTTCTTCACGTATGCCTTTATCGATTTGGTAATTTGCTTCGAAAGAGAATGTGAACAGTTCATATAAATTTTGTTCATCCCTCTACGATTCCTCTTTTTCTCTTCCTCAGTCAAGGTGTCATTAAGTTCTCTAGCATGTTTAATAATTCTTTCCTTGTCTACAAATGGGAGTAGGATAACCCACTGGTATTTGTACTTCTTCCCATTTTCTTCCTCCTTAAATGTTTTGGGGTAAAAATCAATAATGGGGGAATCCTGTCGCACCATTAATTCTCTGTACCCCTTAGGTAGGCAGTGACTAGAATTAGATGGCAACACACAGAGTAGTTGCTCCAGGGGAAGAATGGGTTCATCCTTTTGGAAGGTAAAATTCACATTATCAATAATTAAGTCTGATGACAGGGGTGCATAATAGTAAGGATAATACCAATGCCACATCGGACAGGATTGAAAATAATATGAAAGTACCCAAGCCAAACCCTCAATATATTTGTATACCACTTCTTTCACGAAGTCTTCTACATAATCACTCTCATCCAAATGGAACTTGGACTTGTAGTATTTTATTCTAATCAATTCTGGGTTTTCATCTCCTCCAAGTTCTACGTCCTCTTTGGGGTTTTCACACTCGTTTGCCTTTTTGATCGCCTCTTTAAGGAGCATGTTAAACTCGTTAATATCGTTGATCCGTTTAGTTTCCTCATCTTCTATGTCCCACTGGAGATCTCCTTTGGGGGGAGGGCCCCCATATGGTTGTTCCGCCTCCTCATTAAATTCTTCCTTACATTGTTCCGCCTCTCCATTAGTTTCCTCCTTACATTGTATCTCCTCCCACGACGCAGACACTTCCTCCTCAACCGCGGTCTGCACAGTGGACGATTCGTTGTTGGGCGCCTCCTCCGCAATGGAAGACGACGCCGGGCGTACGAGGAAGTTGATGCTCTTCTCGCCCTTCTTTTCCTTAAACTTGAAATTCCTGATTGGCTGCATACTTTGTATTTTGGACTCGTAGAGCATTTTCTTATTCACAGGTGCGGGTGGCGATGCGCCAGAGGCTAGTGAGCTTGCTGATGCTGTCCCCGCTTGTGTAGCTATTCCCATGGTGTCACTCTGACCGCTGCCCCTCCTCATGTTGCCGTCCTTAAATTGTATACTTCCTCTATTTGAATTACCAGCCTCCCCTCCCGCCACAGTATCATAATCGCGACTGTTTCCCGGAGCATTCGCGAGCATGGAAGCGATGTTTCCTGAACCATCATTTTGCTCATCGGTGCACTTAACTCTCTTCATGGAGTCCTTCTGCTGGTCCCTCTTTTCCCTCTTCTTCTTAAAATCGTACTGCGAAATGAACGTTTCCCTTTCTACCTCCGCGATGAAAGACACATATTTGGAAAAGGGCTTCAAATTAATCTTTCCCTCGTTAATTAGGTAATCCCCCAGCACAGGCAGCACCTTCTGGTATAGTAGAACTAGCTGATCTATGCTCCCCGCAGCAATTGAAATGGAAGGCAAATGAGGCAAAAAGTCATTTCCGCAAAGAAAGCAGATAAAAATAAAATCGTCAATACACCTTTCTAAGTTGTAAGAAGAATCGAAGAAGAAGTCCTTGGACAAGTACTCCCTCAGAATGGTCAAGTCCAAAATTTGCAATTCGTTCCAGTTCTCACTATTAATTAAACAATTGTGACTTCTGTTTATATTAGCATAATGTGGGTCGTTATATTTGGTATACTTTTTTTTTGTTTTTCTCATGTGGGTAGTACAGAGGGGTAAATCCTGTTTGCTCTTAAGCATCCCTACATATTCTTCCTTTTGAACTTTCTCTTCTCCTTTCGAATCTAGGATAATTATTTCTCTTAAAATGTAAAAATAGGGTTCATGGCTAGCTAGAGATAACATAATTAAATCGGCGTCCATCCCATGGATTACATGTCTTGTGTTAGGATCATACCCAGCTTGAGCCCTCTGTGATTTTATAAAATTAAATATTTTATGTTCCCCTTCTCCACAAACATTAGCATCGGAAAAAATGACTACAATGTTTTTCCACTTTTCATCATTTGTAATTTTATGCTCCACGAAATATTTCAAAGCAACTGATAATTCATACATGAACTGAGTCCCTGGAGTTATAATGTTACTGTCCCAGAAGGTGAACTCTTCTGGAACTACTCGATTTTCTGATAAAAATTTTTCCCTCAATTCGATGTATGCTTTTCTTTCAATTTCTGAGCAGAGGATAGACTTAAACCTTCGACTCCTCTGTTGGTTCATTTTGGCCTTAGGAGCTACTCCGTCAATGGCCATGTAAAGAAGTTTCTTTGGCTCAATTATATCAAACAAACGTTCTATATACAAAAAAATATTTAAAAATATTTCTTCATTACTTTTGGCTCTCTTGCTATTGTCACTGTGGGAGCACAAGTGGATTATTCCGTTCATATCGAGATACAAATTATCAAAGTAGCCATTTATGTTGTCTGAGCAATGGGTTTCATCTGTGTTATTCACATAATCGCTTAAATCTGGTACTCTATAGGTGGCCTTCCCCTCACCATCACGTTGTCCCTCCTGAATCTTCGTTCTCCTTGCATACACATCGCTGTCTCTGGTTTCGTAGGTGGCTTTGGCTATTTTTGGATACCTCGTAACCAGCCATCGGTAGAAGGTGGGTACTCCCATGCTTTGCCCACTTTATCTCGTCTTAATCCCTTCTCCTGCTCGGGTGAAAATTGTTGAGGACCACTCGGGGATGGAAATTTTTTTTTTTTTTTGGGGGGTCACTATACCTCTGGGGTTAGCTTCCTTTCCGTGGAAACCTCTTTCTCCCCAGCACCTTTATAGCAGATTTTTTTTTTTTTTTGGAGCTATTAACTGCTCAAAATGCAAAAAACTATGTGCGCCGCTATTTACTTATTAATGTTGTGTGTGAGAGCTCTACGGATGATACCTTCGTAAAACTGAATAATTTTTTTTTTATATATAGAGAGTGGTCTATTCTGTCACTACGTGATGATCTGAATGGTGAAAATATATGCTCTGCATACCTTTTTACTGTTCCATTTTTCACACGGGTCAGTGTTCCTCTCGTACATATATGGGTAGGTGTACATAAGCGAATTGGCCTTCAAGCTCATCATATGTGTGCGTATGTACATGCACGTGCTGGGGGAATAACTGAGCTGACCTCCCAAAATGAGGGGTTGAAATATATTTTCTTGAATTCTTGTGATGGGCATAAACGTGCTAACGTTTCTGCACATGTGCTCTTCAAGTTCCTTTGAAGGAAGGATCTTTTCCACGTCACACGTTTTGTTCAGCCTAGACGTGCTTAACCGCCTCACATGAACAGTGTGTATCCCTTGGGATGTTATCCCCGTGTAGTATTAATTACGTCTTGACGCGTGGGTGACTATAAAACGTGGACATATGTACGCCACAATCTTTGTGCGCAGATGGTATAGAGCTGCTTCAAAATGATTAAACAATTACGGTTTTAACACATACGCTTATAACTATGCAGTTGTATGTGCATTTTTTTTTTTTTTTTTTTGTGCTTCCTTTGGACACGGCCTTGGGGTAGATCTCTATGAGTAGTTGTCGTCTTCTCTGTAGTTATCACTTGAACGGTCGATATGGTTGCAAATCGGGTGATGCATCGCTGCGTCACTTCTTCATTGCTCTCTAGTTTGTACAGTTCGGGGTGGCGTCTCCGACGGCCGCTTCGTAACTGCGTAAACCGGGGTTTCAAATTCGGGAGGAAAACTCAATCTCCTTTTCCCTCCTTGGAAGTGAAGCGTCGGTCAGTAGACGAATGCAAGCGGGCAGCTGGTGCGGTACGTCTTTCAATATACAGACTGCAGGAAGCACATGTAACATTTGTGGGGGGAGCTGTCCTGTCGTTCATCCGCTCTTACATTCGCTGCTAGCTGTTCACGAATTTTTTTTGGAGAATTTTAAAAAGGAATCTAATCTTCAATATGAAACAAACTCGACTTCGCTTCGCTTCGTTTGTTAGAAATTTTTTTTTTTTTTTATGTCCCTGGCTGAATTTTAATTTCATCCCAATTTGAAATGCTTGGCTTTGTCGCCTTCCTCCGGCAGTAGTTCGGAATTATGAAGTTCGTCCCTTAGCATGCGCGACGAGGGACTTTACTACTCGAGTAGGAGGCTTCAAACATGCGCATAGGCACACTTGCGAAATGATTGATAAAGTAATGTAAGCTTCTTTAGGTTTACGTTCGCCTCAATGGCTGTTTTTCGCTTTTATCGCGTCAAGTACCTGTTCATTGATGAGTGGGAAACATTAATCTCCACACGGGTGAAACATAGATATAAACATATGCATGAAAATATATATACATACAAATATATACATATATAATGAGTATATATATGCATATATGCTTTCCCCGAAATGCCTTTTGTTAAAAAAGCGCCAGGCCGAATGAACGAGGGCTTAAAAACGTGCCGCTATTTTTCGTATATGCAACTAGCTTTTTTATAAAAAAAAAAAAAAAAAAAAAAAAAAAAAAAAAAAAAAAATACATAGTATACGTACATAGAGCGCACATTTCGCGTAAATATGGGCATACGTAGCACATCATGGACCTATTGCAGGGGCGGGAATCATCTTACGTTTCACCTGAGTGAGAGCGAAGTAGTGTTAGCCTCTGCGGAAGCCCCACCTGCAATTTGTTTAAGTCAGCCCCAATCAAATGCTCCTCTGATGGGCCACATGACATTTGTCATGATCTACCAATTCCCATAAAAGAGCGATAGTACGGGGGAAACGGAAAAACTGCACAAAGTAGTCCAACAAAAAAAAAAAGTACAGTTTGAAATAGCAAAAACTGCAATAAGAGGCTAGTACAAATATAAGAAGTACTATGTATTGACTCCCCCAAATAGATTTCATCTCGGGGAAAATAATCACCTTTGGGATTTTTTGTATGACGGCATGTATATAACTGCCGGTCCCTTTTAAGCATTTGTTCTGAAAAAAAAAAAAAAGGAACAGATTGTCGCTAGCTGTTTTTTTTTTTTTTTTTTTCAAACTACATAAATGCAATGGGGAAAACGGGAGGATAAATCTTTGTAACATCACACCCATTCATTTCGCTGTAAAATTGGATGCACAATCTGCCGCATATTTTATGTTACTCTTCTTTTTTCCACTTTTTATCTCATTTTTTTGTTGTGAAACGAGCTGATCCGCCCCCGTTGCTATTGTGCAAAAAAAAAAAAAAAAAAAAAAAAAAGCTAACTGACGTCCAAACGTTTTTGCTCCTGACTTTTGCAAAAAATGAACGCTGAAAGGGCTGAAGCGAACTCGAGGCTTCTGGAGCTTTCGAAGAGGAACCTGGAAAATGTAGGATCTCCGTTGTGTGTCTCCCCTTTCGCTAGTACACGCGCAGACATATGTTTCCATCCGTATGCGCTCATTCCCCGTACACACACATTACATGGATGCGTGTCTGTCTTTCCCCCCTTTGGCAGAAAACGCAGAAGGAGCTGGAACAGAAACAGAAGCAGGAGTACGAATACATGGGTTGAGCTGTCTAGCTCCCTTCCCCTTAATGAAACACACACAACCATTACACCTATACATGATTGTGCACGTGCACATGCTTTGCTTAGCTGTCTCGTGCAGTTCAACAACTGTGCTGAATGATGTTTGCCCATGTATGCCCAAATGAGCACACTTCACTCGTAACGACTCGAATACATCGCATTTTTCATTCATTGTGATAGGGAACAGCAGGAGCAGAGGAGGATCATCATGAAGTCCCTGCTAACCCCGGATGCACACGCACGATGTAAAGAAAAAGGAGTGTTCTTTTAAGAGTGCTGGGCTGGAAAAGAGAGGCAACATCGGAAAGACTAACGCCTGCGACAAGTGTAACACAATGAGCAAAAGTATAATGCAATTTTGACTCAGCCGAACCGCTCACCACTTTTACTTTTTAGTGTCAAGGATAGCCATTGTGAAGGAAGAGAAGGCCAGGCGAATCGAGGACATAATCATAAGGGTAACAACAAAAGGGGGAG